AGGTCCCCAAGAGGCAAAATTCATCGATTTCCCTTAGGTTTTTGAAGGATTTTCGCATTCTCGCCTTTTCCGCTTCCCGACGCTCCAAGACGACCAAAGAGGCCCCCAAGATCGCCCCAAGAGGGCCCAAGAGGCCCCCAAGAGGGCCCCAAGATGGCCCAAGAGGGCTCGAAGACGGCCCAAGAAGCCTCCAAGACGGTCCAAAAGGGCCCCAAGAACGCCCCCAAAGGGGCCCCAGAGAGGGAACACGAAACAACATTTCGAGCCCTCGGCCCGAAGAAGCCCCCACGAGGCCCCAAGAGGCCCCTAAGAGGCCCCAAAAGGCCCCCACGAGGCCCTCAGGAGGCCCCCAAGAGTCCCCCAAGCGGCCCCAGGAGGCCCCCCAAATGCCCCCCCGACCGAGCACGCAAGCAAGTGCAAGCGATGCTACAATGTGCTCTCCTTTCGGTAGACTCCCAACGGGGCCCCTACAGACTTGCAACAAGCGTCAAGAACCTGCCCAAAAAGCACTGTCCAGGAGCGTTCACAAGTGCCGCGAAGAAGCCCTCCTTACGCCGGAAAGCCCGGAAAGCCGGGTGGGGTGAGCTGTTCTTCTCACCACCGCGCCCTCTCACACAATGGCTTCCGCACGCCGCCCAGAGCGCGACGTTCGGCTCATGCCCCCAGAACGCTCCAGGAGCGCGCCAAAACGGCACCGGAACGCCCCCGAAACAATCCAAGCCGCCTCAAGTCGCCGAACAATCGTTCCAAATCGCCCAAGATGACCTCAAAATTGCCGTCGAGGCCGCCAAGAAACCCCAAGAGAGCCTCAAGAGGCCCTCCAAGACGGCCATTACAATCAAAAATCGTCCCATTCCCAGAGGAACATGTACACTTCCCGCATGAACGGCGTTTCGAATTTCACAGCGCCTCAGACTACGCAAATAGCCCCCAACATCGCCCCGAGACAGCCCAACAATCCGCTAAAATCGGCCCAAGACGGCCCAAGATAACCCCAAGACGGCACAAGAGAGCACCAAGACCGCCCAATAGGCGCCCAAAGGGGGATTCTGCCCCTAGGAGCACCTCAGAAGCCACCAACATCCCGCCAATAAGTCCCCCAAGACGCCCCAAGAACCATCCAAGAAGCCCAACAAGAAGCCCCAACGACCCCCAAACGGCCCTTACGGGGCCTCAAGAGGCTTCAACACTGCCTCCAAGAGGTTCCCGAGACGCCTGGCAAAATAACCCCCAAAACGCCGCATTGACACCAGGCCCTCGGGCAAACGGCAGACATGAGACTGTATGGGCCGGCGGAATGAGCGAAGCGATTAAATAATCTCCTGAACACAACTTCTGCGTCGAAGGGGGGGGGAGGTTAGCCCTAAGTTCCTGAGCTCCAAAGTCCTTTAAATTAATGTCATTCGGCCCTGGGAATGCATGTCGACAGAAGTAGGAAGCAACCAGTGAATTATAAATCAGCGGAGGGATTGAGCCTGGTGGCTGTCAGAAGAGCCCAAGGTCTCGGGCCCCTGCTCCCGACGGATCCAGAGGCAACCTTGGAGGTCCAACGCGGACCGCAAGGGCGCGGGCCGGGCCGCCAGACAGTGCGCGGCCTTGGCTACCTGGATCGTTCGGACTGCCTGCTGCAGAGCGCGACCCGAGCCCGTCGCGCGGGCTGCCAGCCCCGCCCGAGCCACCAGCAGCTGCGTCGTTGCCGTACTTGTCAGGGCGCTGCCGATGCACCTTCCCTGGGCCCGAAAGGCCGCCTGCGTGTGCGATTCTCATCGCGCGAGCGTTCATCTTCGCGCGCGAAAAACGGGCAGCTGGGCACGGCGCGAACGCGCTGACCACGTCCGCGGCGCAATCCATCTGAAAACCTACAGCGGGCGTCGGAGATTCTGGGGGCCGCCATGGCTAGGGCCCCAAACTCGGCCGCCTGAAGGGTTTGCGGCATGAGGACCCCAATAGGCCCCACGCACCGAGCGGGTCTCCTGGGCCTCCGGGAAAGTCCGCGCAAATCGCCGCGCGGCCCTGCGCAATTATTTGAACGCGGGTCTCCGGCAGGGCCCGCCCATGAAAACGCTGTCTCCAATTGCCTGGCCAAGCTCGACCTCCCCCACCTCGCGACCTTCGGGCTTGAACACGTCGATGCCTCCCTCCTGCCGCGGCCGAGGAAGCCGGTCTGCCGGGCGCCCAAACAGTCCATCAGTAAAGGATGAACCTCCTTAGCGTCTGATAGATCGATGTTCCGAACGACCTGCGACGCCCCGTCCTAGATTTAGGTCGGGCCTGTCCCCCTACAGGAGGATTTTGGGCGAGAAAATAAACATACTGGAAAAATGCCCCCAACATGTTCAAAAATGGTCAAAGAGTCGTCCCCAGACTATTCTTTGACCATTGTTGAAGATTCCCGCTTTGGAGGGACAGGCCCGACCTAGTCCTAGATCCATGTCTCCCGCTCGGATCCGACCGCCGCGTTCCCCCGCCGTCTCTGGCGCGAGGGGTGCCGAGCACGGGG